CTTGGGAGGCGGAGGCAGGAGACTCGCTTGAGCCCAGGAGTTGGAGGTTGCTGTGAGCTGTGATGCCACGGCACTCTGCCCAAGGGGACAGCTTGAGGCTCTGTCTCAAAAAAATAATTAATTAATTAATTAATTAATGAAATCAATAACCTACCGCTGATTCACAAAAGGGCTGGAAAGCTCTGCAAGCAGGCGAAAATTCCCAATGTAGGCCAGCACTCCTTCTTTCTAGACAATAAACACAGAAAACAACATCAAAAATTGTAAATGCTGAAGAAATATTCAATAGCCCCTTGGCATAATTCATCATTATCAAAGCTGACCAAGCAATTTTCTACCTTTCATTGCTAAACTAGCTTTTTTTACTTCTGAAATTCAGAAATATTTTTAGAATTCGACAATATTTTTAAAATAGTCTGTCACATACTTATGTTAACTATGTATATAATGTTCATGTGGGACACATAAACCCTGAAAATAACCATGAATAGCGGCACTCTCAATTAACTGTAGAAAGAATGACCACAAAGTATCAGGAATTTTAGAAGTTGGGGAATTTTATAACAATTAAACATCTTATAGGAACTCATTTTTAAATCCACTATTAAGTACAAGCACCTTAAAATCCTCAAGTGTACTGATCCTAAATAATATCTAAGCCCGTGAGCATCTTTGGAACTTTTCTAAAATTAACCATAATACCTAACACATCCCATCAATTTAATAATATGAAAAGCACAGCACAGCAGAGTTAATAAATGTTAGGGAACAAAGCTGGGGACAGTGGGAGGCTGAGGCAAGAGAATCGCGTAAGCCCAGGAGTTTGAGGTTGCTGTGAGCTATAACACCATCGCACTCTGCCGAGGGCGACAAAGTGAAACTCGGTCTCAAAAAAAAAAAAAAGTGAGGGGGAAAAACCCAAAAGTATACATTGTAAAAATTTTATTTAATATACTTCAAAATTTGCAACTAAGTAAACAGAGGCACTCCAGCACTTCCAATTAAATGAGGATTATAATTATATGCCAAAGAAAATATTCTTCTTGACTCCCAATACATACGATGAAACTTCAGAAACAATTTTTCTACTGGTTATTACAAGCTACCTGCCCAATGTGATGCATTGAAAAAGGTACATGAACTTTATTTCAAGCATTTCTCTCTGAAAATTATTTTAGGAACTTAAAATTCAGAGCTGGATTACAAGGATTAGCTTTACCAAGGCTAATCTACAACTTTTTATAATTTCTAATTCATTGCCCTTACTGAAACTGGGATGTGGAATGAGGAGGAAGGGAGAAGGTCTGGCCAAAGAACAGGCTGGATGAGTACTGTGTGCATAGGCGGTGACTAGTATGGTAGAGGTCACCAAGACACGCTGTACCAGTCCAAAACCACAAAGAAGTATGAGAAAGGTTTTGTGACCTTAGCACAGAAATATAAATAGGTACTTATTTAAGCAGACATTAACCATACTGTTTCCTTTCCTCTTACAATATATTTCTTTAAACAAGATGGAAAAAAGTACAGATTGATTTAGATATACACGCCGGTCTCACCTCACACCTGTCAGCCTCCCTAGGTATGTGACCATCTCCTCCATGAAGCTTATATTAGTTTGCTAGGGCTGTTATAACCAAGTACCCCAGACTATGTGGCTCTAGCAATAGAGATGCACTGTTGCACAGTTATGATGGCTGGAAGTCCAAGATCAAGGTGTCAACAAGGTCACACTCCCTCTGAAGGCACTGGGGCCTCTCTGCTAGCGTTCTGCAATTCTGCGGCCTGTGGTAGCCTCACTCCAATCCCCGTGTGGCGTTCCCTCTGTCTTCAAATTTCCACTTTTAATAGAAATAGTCATAGTGGATTAGAGGCCCACTCATCTTAACTAATCACATTTGTAACTACCCTATTTCCAAATAAGTTTACATTCCAAGGTTCTGAGAGTTAGAACTTCAGCTTGTATGAATTCTGCAAGGGACACAATTCAACCCATAACAATGCTCAATCTCTCAAATTCTTTTCTGTGCGTTGTGCCATAGGATCTGTTTTGGCTATCAGTCTCCCTAATTTAATATAATGTACCTTTCTGTCTGTAAGAACATGCTGTGATATACTAATACATGTATAAAATAATACATGGTATGTGAATTTTCATATACAGTAAAGGTAACTTCATCAGTGATATCTGGTGAATTCTGGTGTTAGTCTCATAACTGTTCTCATTTTCATTACCTAAGCCCTTAAAAAATACAGTCACAGTATTTACAGCGTTGTAGATTAACATTAACACTATTCAAAACAAATTGCAACAGTTCACCTAATAGGCAAAGTCAAAGATGGACTGTTACTGCTCACAATTATAACACACTTGAGTTGCATCAATAGGGTGATGCAACAGAATCTGATTCATTCTTATGAACTGCCAATCATAGTTGCCATGATTTTTACATCACAGAAAGAGGTTTCCCAAGATGCAGGGTTTTCAGTGGTAACATGGCAAAACCAGGACAGCTGTGGGCGGACCACTCCCATCTTCATTTTACTATAAATTCAATGTAATACATAGTAGAAATCACACGTGCAGCTACGAAACAATGAGAAAATTGCAAACATCTGACCTCTTTAACTTAGCCAGCAAAAAGAAGTAAAGATACAATAATAATAAACAAACTGTCATTTCTATTTCAAGCTCCTGGATATTACATGTGCTTTTTTAATGAAATAATTTGGTGACTTGTTCAAAGTTTAGGTGAATTTCCTTCCCCCCAAAAATTGGTTGAAATATTTAAGTTAAGAAGAGTTCAGAAGAAGCAATTGTGTTCAACTGTAGATAGTCCAAGCAAAAAAGAAATCTATAATGTTCTGTTTTTCTTTTCCTCCACTTGAATTTTTCAATAAATTAGGGCAAGGGAGAACGTTGGAAGGAGTATACAGCTAGAACATGACGCTTCGGGGGGAAACACATTCAAAGATAAAGTTATTTTAGTGATATTCTTCCTTGAACCAGATATAAAAACTTTTTCAATGTTTTATTAGTATGATCCTTCACTATAAGAGATTCATGTATGTAATAAACACGCACTATTTGTTTCTAAAAGATAAATCCTCTCATTTAAAACACTGGCCCTTTTCCTCTAAGTTTAAGGCAGTTCTTTCAATCTATTTTTTTCTTCCTTGTCTGATTTGTTGTTTTAAGTCTACAACATTCTATAAAACAGTGTCCGATGTTTAAAGACTACAGCAGAACAGATTGTGGCAAATGCCGGGCGTCCCTAATAGAGGATAAGTTTGAAAACAGCTTTCCTTTTTTAGCAGGTATGACGTAGAGCTGGCACAAATGAAGGGTGGTCATCTACCACCTCCACGTCATTCTTTTCACACATGGTTAAACCTAAAGGCAAAATTTAACGTATTTATCACTATTATGTTCCGTCTATTTTCAGCCTATTATTCCAGTAGAAAGCCTTTTTTAAAATGTGAATCATTGCCTACCATATTATTAGTTCTTCTTCCTAATTGTCTTTTAGTCATTTAATAAGCTTTTTAAAAACTTTTTATTGTGACAAAATGCATACAATATAAAATTTACTCTTGGCAACTTTATTTTTTGAGATAGAGTCTCAAGCTGTTGCCCTCCCTAGAGTTCTGTGGCGTCACAGCTCACAGCAACCTCAAACTCTTGGGCTTAAGTGATTCTCTTGCCTCTGCCTCCCGATTAGCCACAACACCCACCCATTTTTTTTTGTTGCAGTTGTCATTGTTGTTTTAGTTGGCCCAGGCCAGATTTGAACCCCCCAGCCTATATATGGCCTATATGTGGCCAGAGCCCTACCCACTGAGCTACGGGCACCACCCTATTCTTGGCAACTTTTTAAGTGTACAGATTCAGTGGCATTAAATACTTGCATACGGCTATGCAAAAATCACCACCATCCATCTCCAAAACGTTTTCATCTTCCCCAAATGAAACTGTGTACCGATTAGGCAATTCCTCCACACTGCCTTCTCTGTCCAGATCCTGGCAACCACACTCCTATTTTCTGTCTCAAAGAATTTGATTATTCCAAGTAATGCATATAACCAAATTCATATGATAAAATTGCTTTTTAAAAAACTAATGAAGAGCGAAGTATTGAGTTGGGTGGACGTGGCAGTCCTCTGGCTGACATCTACTTGACCAGCACACACCGAGGCCAATCTATCAAGTGTTTGCTTTCCCCACATTGAAAGGAAAATAGGATTCACAAAAGGCAAACCTAGAGGAAGGGAAATATCTTTGCTCAGGTAATTCCACTCCATTAACCTGTGCCCAGAGAGGAATGTGAAACAGTAACCACCGTACAAGGAAGGCAGGCACAGCTAGACTTCAACTCCTAAACCAACACTGAGGAATGTATCACAGGAGCTTTATTATGTCTAGAAATTATGGGAATGGTCACATCAGATACTGTATATTAAAAAGTGTTTAAAATATGTTAAAACAAATTCTAAAACAAAAAACACAGGTACATCCGTGTATATGCGTATAAACATAACACTTTTTATATGTAAATATTTGACACGTTTTGTTGAAGACTGACCGCTTAACATTGGTGCCACACTAATCCCTCAATAAAAACGTATGTGGTAAGAGAAAGTAACTGTGTATTTGTGCTTTCATATAGATTTCTATTAAGTGAACTGTAGAAATTCTAAAAAACAATTAATTCCCAGGCCTTACTTCTGCCAGTCTATTGCTCACTACTATATAAGAAAGTTTAAAATCTTTTATTTCAGTAGGAAAAATGATTTAGCAAGTCATTTGAGTTGTTAAAATATTTTTCATTAAACAATTAACATATTTTACTAAATGTAACTTTAGCAGAAAAAAGAAAACATACAAACCTTGCTTTAATAAACTATGTTAGGTGGCTACTTCTAACACCTACGTGATTCTTTTTTTTTTTTTTTTGAGACAGTCTCACTATGTCGCCCTCAGTAAAGTACTGTGGCATGATAGCTCACAACAACCTCAAACTCTTGGGCTTAGGCAATTCTCCTGCCTCAGCCTCTCAAGTAGCTGGGACTACAGGCGCCCACCACAACGCCCGCTATTTTTTGGTTGTAGTTGTCACTGTTGTTTGGCAGGCCCAGGCTGGATTTGAGCCCGCCAGCTTCAGTGTCTGTGGCTGGCACCCTAGCCACTGAGCTATAGGTGCCGAGCCTATTTTTTCTTTTTGTAAGACAGAGTTTTACTTTATCGCCCTCGGCACAGTGCCATGGCATTGTAGCTCACAGCAACTTCAAACTCTTGGGCTCAAGAGATCCCTTTGTCTCAGGCTCCCAAGCTGTAGCTGGGGCTATAGGTACCTGTGACAATACCTGGCTATTTTTTAGAGACCAGTCTCACTCTTGCTCAGGGTGGTCTTGAACTCCTGAGCTTAAGAGATCTGCCTGCCTTGGCCTCCCAAAGTGTTAGGATTATAGGCATGAGCTACCGCACCCATCCATGTAATTAAGTTTTGAAATTTTATCTTTTGAAATGTTGCTAAAACAATTACTATAGTTACCTAAAATGTTTCTTTAAGGCTATCCTAATGGAGGAAAAGGAGGTAATATAGTGGTTATATGTAAATGAGTTATATGTACTGAGTAATAGGCAACACTATCAAAATCCTTTTAAAAACAAGAGTTGTTTTTTTTTTTTTTTATGGCATTGCTGTGGAGATTTTTCTGCAGGCAAAACGCAAGACCAATATTTTTCTAATTCTCGTCTCCTGTAAATTACAACTTTGCTGAATCTGATATAACAAATCTTTCATTTTTGATACCACTTTATACACATTTGCTTGCAAATGTTTTTAAAATAGAAATACTGTGATAAAGCATTAAATAAGAAGCAAAGAGGCCAGGCCTCTCTGTGACTCATGCCTGTAATCTCAACACTCTGGGAGAGCAAGGCAGGAGGATAGCCTGAGGCAAGGCCGAGAGTTTCAGACCAGCCTGGGCAACACAGCAGGTCTCTATAAAAAAAAAGGGGGAGGGGGGACTGTAACCAGCTATAGTGACATATGCCTGTAGTCCTAGCTACTTGAGAGGCTAAGGCAAGAGGATTACTCGAGCCTGGGAGTTCAAAGCTGCAGGGAGCTATAATTGCACCACTGTGTGAGACCCTGCCTCTAAAACAAAAACAGAAAAAGAAAAAACACATTCATACGCTTAAAGCGTCACATTTCACCTAATATCCTGAAGTATATCAAGAGCCATATGGGCCATCTGAAACCAAATTTTCTTCCTCAATTACAGCAGAGTGGTTTAATGATTAGACAGCATAAACCTGTGAAAGAGTTGGGAAAAGACGCATGTTTTCAAGTTTAAGTGTTTTCTAAATGTATTATATCACTGTCTAAAGATATAGTTTGATGGGGGAGAGAAGGTGATTCACAAAGAACACAGAAAAAAAAAACTGAAGGCTATAAAAAAAGTCAGGAAGGATGATGGTTCATCCTTAAAAATAAGACATCAAAGCACGAATGTGTTCAGCCCGCCATGCTTTCCTTGATAATTAGTATTAGTACCCTGTCCCAGGGGTAAAAACTAAATATCAGGGAAAAAAACTATAAGATTTTTTACATCTCTCTATAGACAAAAGATTCTTTAAGCCCTAAATTACGCTGACAGAGGATTTTAAAACTTCAGTAAATATAATAGAGAGAAGTACGAAAATAGTGATCAAGATATTATATATTATATATTATATAACCCACAATACCTTAAATTCAAAAGAATCTCACTTTTCAACTATTTCTTCAGTAGGGCATACATTTAAAACCTACAGGGAGCTTGCTTCTATTCACTTTAAGTTTTATTTAGTTCCAATAACAGAATCATTTAAGAGAAAAGCTTACTGGGAACAGCTTAGACAGTTACCCAAGTATGGAGTCGAAGTCCTTCCCAAATACCGGTTCTCACCAGTGGTAAGAACTGAATGACCATGTACACCAAAATATTGTAATTATTATTTTTAGCCCTATTTAGCATAACAAAATGTACAAAGTAATCTTGGAATTCTCTGCAAGAAGAAAATCTTACATTCGATGGGTAAATGTAAGATTTGTAAGTAACATAGGATCTATCCTATTTTTCTGTCTTATTTCCCTATGAATAGATTCACTTTTTTAGATAAAGTTCATACTAAACAGAACATAGGAACATATAGCAAAAAAAAAACTTCAGATAAAATGCAGTTGATGGCCTTCACTTAACAACTTACAATAAGATAGTTAATTAATTATTATGTTTTTAAAGGCATAAAATTCCAAGGAGGAAAATGGTATTTACCCCACATAACTGAACATTGAACCTGCCAATCCAGACACAATCAGCCATATGCCACATCTGTGATTTCAGTGGTCAATACAGAACAGAGTATAGTTTTTATTTTGTTTTTCTTTTTTTCTTTTTTTTGAGACAGAGTCTTCACTATGTTACTCTCAGTAAAGTGTCATGGTGTCACACCTCACAGCAACCTCAAACTCTTGGGCTCAAGCGATTCTCTCGCTTCAGCCTCCCAAGTAGCTGGGACTATAGGCACCCACCACAATGCTGGCTACTTTTTGTTGAAGTTGTCATTGTTGGTTAGCTGGCCGGGGCTAGGTTCAAACCCTCCAAGTTCGGTGTATATGCCTGGTGCCATAACCACTGTGCTATGGGTGCCAAGCCCAGAGTACAGTTTTTAAAACAAGCATATTGATTATTTAAATTTGCAATTTCAAATGGGTAACATGAAGAGATATTTTGATATATCTGATTCTTACAGAAACGATGCCAGATCAACTTCTTACTCACTAGCTATCTTTGTGTACGTCAACAAAAAGAAAACTTGAAGAATATTATTAATGTGCCCATGTATATAACTTTTTCTCAAAAGTTCTTCAAATAGGCTCGGCGCCTATGGCTCAACCGGCTAAGGCGCCAGCCACGTACACCTAAGGTGGCGGGTTCGAATCCCCAGCCCGGACCCGCCAAACAACAATGACGGCTGCAACCAAAAAATAGCCGGGCGTTGTGGCGGGCGCCTGTGGTCCCAGCTACTTGGGAGGCGGAGGCAGGAGACTCGCTTGAGCCCAGGAGTTGGAGGTTGCTGTGAGCTGTAATGCCACGGCACTCTACCCAGGGGGACAGCTTGAGGCTCTGTCTCAAAAAAAAAAAAAAAAGTTCTTCAAATAGTCACAAATATCCAGTAATGCAAGAATTTTTGTGGGTGGCGCCTGTGGCTCAGTGAGTAGGGTGCCGGCCCCATATACCAAGGGTGGTGGGTTCAAACTTGGCCCCAGCCAAACTGCAACAAAAAATAGCTGGGCGTTGTGGTGAGTGCCTGTAGTCCCAGCTACTCGGGAGGCTGAGACAAGAGAATCGCCTAAGCCCAGGAGCTAGAGGTTGCTGTGAGCTGTTGATGCCACGGCACTCTACCAAGGGCAATAAAGTGAGGCTCAGTCTCTAAAAATAAAAAAAAAAAAAAAGAATTTTTGTAAAGCAAATATAAGAATAAAGTCAGAAGCTACACTTAAGTTTTAAGAGAGAAAACATACAATGTATGTACCATATCTATTACATGAAATTCATACAATTCTTTATTTACATCATTTACAAATATCTATCTAGAGCTTGTTGGTATATCTAGGTTAAAAAATAATCAGTTGTGTGGGTGGCACCTGTCGTTTAAAGGAGGAGGGCGCCAACCCCGTATACCGGAGGTGGTGGGTTCAAACCCAGCCCCAGCCAAAAAAAAAAAAAAAAAACCTGCAAAAAATAAAAAATAAATAATAAATAATTGGTTGTGGAGAAACCTGGCAAACATGCAAAGAATACAAAGTTGCTAGTTTACAAATGCATATGTGGAAAAATCATTTTAGATATAGAATTTAACATTCTTTTTTTTACTTTTAGAAGACCCTGATGTAGAATGAATAGAATTTACTGTTCTTTATTGCCTGAGATTTATTGCAAAAATCCTCTGTTGACCTTAGCCTTGGAATTCTGATGACGTTTCTGAACACTATTTCCCCTACTGCTCTAGCCTACTAATATGTAATTATGCACATGCGTGGAATTATACGAAAAGAAGTATTTTTAGCTACTTACATGGGAATACACGTATGTACATAGCTGTAAAATCATAACTGGATCTACAAAGATGAACACCTATAGCTACACAATCCTAAAGGTTTTAAGTGGAAATTCAAGGACTTAGGGCAGGTGTCCTCAAACTGCGGCCCCCGGGCCACATGCGGCCCACCTAGGACATTTATCCGGCCCGCCGGGTGTTTTTGCTGCCACTGCCTGTCCTGCTTAGCAGCCAACTCATCCGGGGCCCGCAGCCCAGCCTTCCCAACAGTCTGAGGGACAGTGAACTGGACCCTGTTTAAAAAGTTTGAGGACCCCTGTCTTAGGGTAATCTGCCTATCTCAAAGTTTATGAATACAAATAGACATCTAATAGAGATGTACATGTAGTTATCATTTTAGTTAATAAGTAAGATAACTTATCACAAGAATAATCCCTGGATACATCTGGAGATGTCTTTATAAATAAAGAATTGTATGTTTAAATTGACGTTCACCTATGCCACTATCCCCAGTCTCATCTGCTTGCTCAGTGATCGTAAACCCGGGCACTCACCAGTAGGAAGAAGTATGCGTACAGTGCTGCACAATGGTGGACTATAAAGAATTTGTCACCAATCACTTTCCAGTACAAAATGAGAATCAATAAATCTGTAAGAAGGAAAACTAAGTTATTACAGAAGAAGAAAGCTGCATTGTTTTCCAAGTGTATGTAACTCTTCTGACAACTCAGCACCGTCTACTCTGAGCCCACCACACTTTGGTCCACCTCAGAGAGTCTTATGACCCCCTTTGTCACACAGCACCTGCTCCTTTATGCCTTGTCTGGCCCCCTCAACCGTGGCTTCTCCAGGACACAGGCCAAGCTGTAGGCACCTTTACATTCTCAGAATCTAGCACAGGGTCTGGCATATAGCACGGAACATAATTATTTGTCAAAAAGAGTAACTTGTTTACAGGGTTAAAGAAAAAGAAAATTTCAAGTAAAAATAATTTATAAATAACCATAATTGACTGAGTTTGTCACAACAATAATCTCAGCAGAGATGGATGGTGGTAGAAAAGGTACAAGATAACTAATACGTTCATAACACCACCTCAACAAAAAATATTCAGGGAATTAAAAACACAAATTAAATGTTAATTCAAATAGGAAAACTACCGAGAACTATGGCTATTAAAGACATATGGGCTCAGCGCCTGTAGCTCAAGCGGCTAAGATGCCAGCCACATACATCAGAGCTGGCAGGATCGAATCCAGCCCGGGCCCACCAAACAACAATGACAACTACAACCAAAAAATAGCCAGGTTTTATAGCGGGCACCTGTAGTCCCAGCTACTTGGGAGGCTGAGGCAAAAGAATTGCTTAAGTCCAGTAGTTGGAGGTTGCTGTGAGCTGTGATGCCATAGCACTCTACCCAGGGCAACAGCTTGAGACTCTGTCTCAAAAAAAAAAAAAAAAAAAAAAGGGCAGCGCCTATGGCTCAAAGTAGGGTGCTGGCCCCATATCCAGAGGTGGCAGGTCCAAACCCAGCCCTGGCCAAAAACTGCACAAAAAAAAGAAAAAAGAAGAAAATTATTTTTTCTGCTTAATGAATTACTGTGTTTTGGCATAACCCAATTTTTTGCTACAACTCACTTCTTGATGGCAGAAAGTTTTCTATTAAGTTCATCACTTTATCACTATTCCATTAGTATTGGATTTTCTTCCAGTTATTTAAGAAGTTTAAAAGTAACAACAGAGTTCCCTATAAAAATGTCCGTATCAGGGATCTGTTATTTCTCTCATTCTATTAAGATGACCCAAAACATCTTTTCAAATTGCAGGTCTAAAAGGCGTATTCTCAACTTTACCTCCCTCTGCCTCCCTGTAAAAAAAAGGTAACTCCAACCTCATTCCCTCCAGTAGGAGAGAAAGTACACCAGAGGAGAATGTGGGGTAGAAAAAGCCCATTGTCTTAACTGACTATGACTAAACAGTTTACTATTAAAAATTTTACCCAAACTATATAAAACCATGACTCTTGGAACACATTTCAAGGGCCCTGGAAAGTGAGGCTTAAACTTCATTAGCTGTACAGTAATTAAGCCTGAGAGATTTAGGACAGAGATCACTGTTAATAAAAAATGCACAGGCTTCAGTGGTGTGAGGCCCCACTCAGCAACTCTGATCTTCTATGAGAACCAGGAAGACAGCATGAAAAAACATTTCATGTTCTACCATCATCATAGGTATTTTTCCTCCGAATGGGTAAAAACCACTTCTCAACTAAATAAACCAAAAGCATAGATTATGTATTCTTTGTATAATTCCAAGAGTAGCCTAAAAAGAGATAGACAATCAACTTATCACATACCAGAAATGAGGTAGCCTGAAGCAATAGCAATGTTCACATTGACCAATGATGGATCACCCCTAAAATAGTAAAGAAAAAAAAATTCTTTATTTTAAATACATTAGTTATAGATGCAGTTACTTTTTTTTACTGAGACTCTAATATAATGATATAATGAAAAGGCTTTCTACAGATACTGCAATGGTAAGCTGCAGTTTTCGAATAAAATCATAAACACCCAATGACAGCTTGGTGGAACTGGATGCATCCTGTGGTACTGGTTCAAGTAGAAAGATGCTGTCCCCAGGATAACCTGAACCCACACCCCCTAAGGAAATTTAGTAGCCTTCCTGTCCAAGATGAACTGTTTTAATCAAGACATCTTCTGTATCCCCTACCCTCCATGAAGTTTATTCTAAACCTAAGGCAGTTTCCAAAACATCCCTGAAAATAAATCATCAACTCTTGGAATTTAATCAAGACAAGAATCCTCTAGCATCAAAAGCCAATCCACACTGAGGTTCCCAGTATTAGGAACAGACATCCTGGCTGGGCATGGTGGCTCACACCTGTAACCCTAGCAATCTAGGAGGCTGAGGTGGGTGGATGGCCTGAGCTCATGAGCTTGAGACCAGCCTGAGCAAGAGCAAGACCTTGTCGCTACTAAAAATAGAAAGACTGAGGCAAGAGAATTGCTTGAGCCCAAGAGTTGGAGGTTGCTGTGAGTTATGACACCAAGATACTCTACCGAGGGTGATAGTTTGAGACTCTGACTAAAAGAAAAAAAAAAAAGGAACAGACATCCTGAGGTAGCAAAGAGTACTCAGTATACCTTCTGAACGTGTTTATAACTATTCCCAGAAGCCCCAAATCCAGAGGCATAGACTAGGGTCTGTTTTGTTTTGTTTTAAATTAGGAAGTCTTATCCCTACCACCAGAAGGCATTTATAGTGGACTTGGTGGGTACCTAAGGGCCGACTCCAACTGACATTCCAATGTATTAAGTTACCTTAAACATGGTAATGCACGAAGTATTGTGTTACCTATGATAGACTTCTAACTGCATGAATAATCACAATTTCTTGTACATCTTAACTAAAAGTTTTACTAAAATAATTTGACCAAAAGACAACAAAATTTATAAATGTGTTCTCTTTGTGTATGCTTTGTTTGCAAGAGGACTCAACTGGAATTCCAGATGTTGATTTTTTCTGATTCCTTATACTGAATCAGAGACTCAACCTCAAAAAAATCATCTACCTCACTTCTGATTTTAAGGCAATATGGTATCATCACCATCATTCTACTAAGGACTAAAGGGAAATAATCAAAACAGTCGAGTTTCACTCTGCTGTTTTGATCCCTACACATATAAAGATCCTATAGTTTTGCTCTACTAATGCTATTTGGTCCAAAAAACAAATACAAATTATCAGTTTTTTATCTGATTTATAATGTGAATTGCTACTAATGAAATTAACATAAAATAAAACCAACAGCTAAACTACCAATTTTTATCTGCAAATATGGCCCAAGAAAAGTAGACCTGATTTTTTAACAGTATTAAAAAATCAGCTTGGCACCATAGCTCAGTGAGTTACCTGTCACATATACTGAGGCCGGTGGGGTTTAAGCCTGGCCTGGGCCTACTAAACAACAATGACAACTGCAACCAAAAAATAGCCAGCCATTGTGGCGGGCACCTGTAGTCCCAGCTACTCAGAAGGCTAAGGCAAGAGAATCACTTGGGCCCAAGAGTTTGAGGTTGCTGTGAGCTGGGATGCCACAGTATCTACTGAGGATGACACAGTCAGACTATATCTCAAAAAAAAAGGCAAAACTATCAAAAATTATGTTAGGTTAAAGTTTGATAAGGCAAAAATTGACCAATGAGTCAAATCTGTTATAAAATTTACTTCCCAAAAGAACTGGTTCTGCTGATAGTCATGTTCCTAAAATAAAAACTAAAATTATAAAAAAGCCAGAAATTGCATAGGTAGGGTATATAAAAATCTGGTCAAGGAACTTGAGTTCATTAATGGATTTACTTTGAAAAGTATCTTCCCAGTGCAAATGTATCAACATTGGTATAATAACTTCATAAATATTTAGGAATAAAAACCAACATCCTTGCAGTCAAATGGCGGTAGTCGAAAGACCTGGTTAAATGGCCCTACATCTTCCAGAGCCCATGACAACCACAATCTGCTGCACAGTTTTCTCAAAATATACCTCTTCCCTCAAACTAAACTGAACTAAGCCTTCTGATACAATGCCAAGAAGTACAGTTTGCAAAATTTCTGACACTGAAATCCCACTTAAATTTTTTCAGAAAGAACCATCTCACAAATTATCCTATTATTGCTGAAAATAGCTATTATTAGTGCTTCAAATCTTCTCAGATACTAAATTCCTCTCACATGGCCATCTATAATTCTCATTTTCTCTCTTTGATATCGAACTTTGGGTCAAACCTAAATGTGAGGACAAAGTCTTAAGTAAGTATTTCCAAGCTGACTCTCCTCTCTTAATAATGACTTAGTTTTGCTCAGAATAGTGGTTACAGTGACTTGGTTTTCCTCACTAACACAGCACAAATGTTCACATCATCATTGTCACATTCTCCTTGTTTGGAACAACAACTGCTATACTAAGGCAAAATGACCCTCTTCTGCATTCGAATCTAAAATAGATCATTTGAATGCACTTTGCTAAAATAAGTCTGAACACAAGCATTTTAATAAAGCACATACCACCAATGTTTTCTGTTTTAAAGTAAGGGATGTTCTTATTAATAATTAATATTAAAACATAAATCAAATTGGCAATCTTGGAAAGAAACAGCTTACCAAAGTGGATCAACTATAGTGGCTTCATCAAATAAGAAAATGTATAGGCCAAAAGTCCCAACCACCAAAGAATGGCATGTAGATACTACCCTAAAATAAAACAAAACACAAAGATTTTAGAGTCTTTGCAATAAACTTTAACTCATTCTGTCTGGCAAGACGTTTTGCATTCTGAACAAATTACACCTTGAAGCATTTAAGTATAGGAGTGAAGTACATCTAAAAGTATCATACAGAACTGTCATTTAGAACTCCAAGGGCCACAACTTGACTGTGGAATAATAACAAGGAAGATGCCCAGGTCTCTAATTTCTTGCTAGCAAACTGGTGAATCACTTCTCGGTTAAAAGTTCTAAGACAGAGGAACACGTGATGATAGAGGTAAGACCTCTACCCTCTTCCCTGCTCCAAGCTCCACCCCCAGCAGCATCACTACAGGAAGAGTTTCCTGCCCCAGTCGCTGGGAATGACTTCTCAAACTACTGGCCCTAACCAACTGCGTATCCTTAAAACAATATGAGTGTACCATGATATGAAGATTTATTATCTTGGAGATTCCATTTTTAAATGTACATTCACTTGCTTTACTGTACTTGATTCTTATAACAAATCTGTGATATTTCCTGAATTTATACAGAAAATCTATTTTTAAAAGAAACAGTCCAAGGGACAGCAAAATGTTCTCAAGATCCAGATCAAAGGTCAAGGAACACACTAAAAAAAGAAAAAATCCAAATCAAGTTTTTCTTTTATAGAAGGAATAAGGTTTAGATGAAAAAGCGTGTTTCTGCAAACATATCCTGCTAATAATTTAGTAACTCAACCGATACTCAAGCTAGAGGATATACTATTTAAAGAACTATAAACAGGATACTTTGTATTTATCCATATAAATAAGCTCTTATAACCAACAATTTTGGTTTTCTCACTTTTTTTTTGTTTTTGAGACAGAGTCTCTCAGTTTGTGGCTCCCAGTAGAGTGCAATGGCATCATAGCTCACAGCAACCTCAAACTCTTGTTCTCAAGTGATCCTCTTGCCTCGGCCTCCTAAGTAGCTGGGACTATAGGTGCCTATCACAAAGCTCAGCTATTTTTAGAGACAAGGTTTCCCTCTTACTCAGGCTGGTCTCCAACTCCTCAGCTCAAACAATCTACCCATCTTGGTCTCCCAGAGTGCTGGGATTATAGGTGTGAGCCACCAAGCCTGGCCATTTTCTCACACCTTAATTAAGAAGTTTACAAGTAATGAAGCTTCTTTTTTGTAGAATGAAGGATAAAAGGAATAGTAAAGTTTTCTCTCTACAAATTGTGTATGTGTAATAAATTTTCTCCTTGGGCGGCGCCTATAGCTCAGTGAGTAGGGCGCCAGCCCCATATACCAAGGGTGGCGGGTTCAAACCCAGCCCTGGTCAAATTGCAACAAAAAAATAGCCGGGTGTTGTGGCAGGCACCTGTAGTCCCAGCTACTTGAGAGGCTGAGGCAAGAGAATCACCTAAGTCCAGGAGTTGGAGGTTGCTGTGAGCTGTGTGATGCCACAGCACTCTACCAAGGGCGATAAAGTAACACCCTGTCTCTACAAAAAATATATAATAAATAAATGTTCTCCCTACAATATGATCCTAGATCTTTAAAAGTAAAATATATCAACTAATATTAAACTTGATATAAAACTTCATTGTAACTTGAATAATCAATATACCCGACCTAATAGTATGTTCCTAAATAGATACATCTTGCTAAGTTACAATTTAAACTTAGAAAGATTCGCACTAAATTAAGGGCATTGACAAAGACTCATTTGTAATACCAAAGAATCATTTTGAAGTGTGAATAATTAATCCAATTTATCTGGTTTATAAGTCTGGAATTTTTATACCAGGCACATCTGTACTCTACTTGAGTACAGCAAGATACAAATGTAAATTCATTAACACATTCCATCATAACTAATTATACAGCCCACTTTCTGCTGCTATTTAAAAATCCAGAAGCTGAGCTGGTAGCTTACACCTGAACCGTAGCACTCTGGGAGGCTAAAGTGAGATGATGGCTTAAAATCAGGAGTTCAAGACCAGCCTGAACAACAGCAAGACCCCAATTCTATTAAAAACAGAAAAATAGCCAGGTGTGGTGGCAGGCACCTGTAGTTCCAGCTATTGGAGAAGCTAAGGCAGGAGGATCACCTGAACCCAGTAGCTGGAGGTTGCTGTAGCTAGGCTGACGTCACAGCACTCTAGCCTAGGTGATAGAGTAAGACTCTGTCTTAAAAAAAAAACAACAAGAGAAAACAAGAAACCTTTCTTACTAACTTGTTTTACTGTTTAGTTACCTGAAGTCAAGAAGTTTCCTCTTGGAAAAAAAATCTAACCTTTTATACCTGACGCTTGGGCCTCAAATTCTCTTCTCTGTTGAGATGTCATATGACAAACAGAAAGCATTAGAAGCCCTCAGTGGATGAAAATGGCATATAATGTTAAAAAGTTAAATGTTAGCAGGGCGCGGTGGCTCACACCTGCAATCCTACCACTCTGGGGGACTAAGGCAGGTGGACTGAACTCAGGAGTTCGAGACCAGCCTGAGCAAAAGTGAGACACTCATTTTAGAGAAAAAAACAAAAAAGAGCCAGGCCCTACTTATGGTGGGCACCTGTAGTCTCAACTACTTAAGAGGCTGAGACAAGGGGATCACTTCAGCCTAAAAACCTTAGAGTTTGAGGTTGTTTATGAGCTATGATGCTGTGGCACTCTTCCAAGGGCAACAAAGCAAGACTTTATTTAAAAAAAAAAAAAGTTAAATGTTATTTGGTCCAGTCAAATACCATAGAACCTCTGTAAGTTGACCACCCAAGGGACTATAACCAACTGGTCAACATGAGGAACTAGGCCTACTGTACTGATACATACATGTGGTGCACACATGTCCAGTCTATGAACTTAAGGAGGTGGTCAACTTTGCAGATTCTGCTGTAGTTTCCACTCTAATGACCAGGAAAAGCAAACACTTTACACTCATATATTATTCCGTATTCAAAGTCCATTCAAGTTTGAGTCTTTAAAATCAGATTCCTGGCCAAAAACGTAGATTCCTTAGTAACTAAAAACACCAAGATGATAGTCAAAACATTTCCATTTTTTTCAAAAAGGGTTAAAAAGAAATGTTTGTGCTTATAAAGATACAGCAATTGAAGAAAATAATTAAGGGCCATTTGAAAACAGCGATTTAAAGTTACTGGTTTAATCAATTACAAGTAATGTGAGTGTTGTCAAACAGAAACGGAAAGTTAAATTTTGGAGAAACAGAATGAAAATTAGTAGTTTTGCAACACAACGCAACAGGTAAGCAAATGGATGTAAGCAAATAAGAAAATGTTTTTAAATTATAAGGCTCCTAGAATTTTTACATTTCACAAAAAGTTACAGTTAAGTACAACCATTTCTCACTTAGAACTAAACTGTTACCTCCCCATGAGGCATTTTCCAATAATTTTCTTCTGTCCTTTTTCTGCTAGATAGTTAGAACATCCGATGTTCAGACATTCTTTCCTGATTACTAGAAAGAATTATGTGTCATACTGATCCGTGTGTTTCAAGACTAGAGCCTGAATTTCAAGACTAGAGGCTGATTTTTTATTTATTTTTTTTTTATTTTTGAGACGGAGCCTCAAGCTATCCCCCTGGGTAGAGTGCCATGGCATCACGCTCACAGCAACCTCCAACTCCTGGGCTCAAGTGAGTCTCCTGCCTCAGCCTCCCAAGTAGCTGGGACCACAGGCGCCCGCCACAACGCCCGGCTATTTTTTGGTTGCAGCCATCATTGTTGTTTGGCAGGTCTGGGCTGGGGATTCGAACCCTAGGTGTATGTGGCTGGCGCCTTAGCCGCTTGAGCCACAGGCGCCGAGCCTAGAGGCTGATTTTTTAAAAATAGCCTACTTTTTCCTTCTTTCCACTCTCCACCTCACTGATTCCATGCTCTGGCATGTAACATTTAACTGCCCTGGGTCTGGCTAAGCTGGCCAATACCATATAGTATAAGCTCCTCACAAGCTCCACCTACACCAACCATGCTGGAGTGGGAAGCAGGAACACATTTGCAAGAATGAGAAAACACCTTTTGAATACCTAAATGAATCTTCCATACAATCCCAGACTCCCTTTTCAAATAGGAACTCAGTTTCCCAAATGGTAATTTCCTCCATCAGTGAATGGCAGTGATAACACAAAATCATGCAAAATATTTTTCAATTTCATCACTTCACTTTCATCTTTGCTTCTACCTCCCTCTGTATCCTCCTTATTTCGTTGGCTTGTAGGTACTCAAGATTCAAATGCCTTTGGAGAACCACGGTGAAAACGAAATGAAAGTATTTCAAAATTTAATCAGAGAATATATGCCCTCCCCATCATTCCATCTATCTCTATACTTCAGGAAGGGTTTTTTAAAATAATATTTTTATGCTAGTCCTCTGATTTAAAAAAAAAAAATCACCTCTTATTTCTCTGAAAATATGTAAAGGAATAATTCTTGCTTTTTGTGTAAAAAGAACTGTAGCATGTATGAACTAGACATATCAGTGTAAAGTGCAAAAGAAAACAACTAAAATCTTGTTAAATTCACATTCTAAGTTATAAAAGTGGATGACTGCAAAACAATCTGGCTCAAAGAAAGATAGATTTCGGGTCAAATATGACTGTTCTTGAATAAATATTTCGATGTTGGCAGAAGTTCCTGAATTTTAAAAGAAAATTTCGATGAAAAATAATCACCCCCATTTTAGAGACTTGCTGAATGTATATATGGACAGCATTAAATTCAACTAAGCAGCAACAACAAAAATACGCCTGTGGCTGCTCCAATTTACTGAGGTTTGCAAATGCACAGCAATGTTTGAGTACATTAAAGAAATGCTTTAAAACAAGTGACGCAGCCATCAGAGTCATTTTGTGTTTGAAATCTTCCGAGATTAATGAATTACACACAAAAAATTTGCAACTAACTTTTTAAAATTCCAGATTTCATTTTGGGGAGAGAAGGGAAGAAACTAGGGTCTCACTCTGTTGCCCAGGCTAGAGTACTACGGCTTCAGTGTAGCTCACAGCAACTTCAAACTCCTGGGTTCAAGGGATCCTCCTGCCTCCGCCTCCTCAGGAGCTCTAACTACTGACACCAACCACCATGCCCGACCAATTTTTTTCTATTTTTAGTAGAGACAGGTTCTTGCTCAAGCTGGTCTTGAACTCCTAATCTCAAACAGTCCACCCACCTCACCTTTTTAGAGTGCCAGGATACAGGTGTAAGCCACGGATTTCTACATCCACAATGTCTAATTATCTTTTTTTCATTTACTTTTTGTTTTAAAAAAAAAAATCAAAAAAAGTCAGGTGCAGTGGCTCATGCCTGTAATTCTAACACTCAGGGAGGCTGAGGCAGATGGATCACTTGAGCTCAGGAGTTTAAGACTAACCTGGGCAAGAGTGAGACCCCATCTCTATTAAAAATAGAAAAAAAACTAGCCAGGCATTGTGGCAGGCACCTGTAGTCCCAGCTACTTGGGAGGCTGAGGCAAGAGGATCCCCAGAGCCCAAGAGTTTGAGGTTGCTGTGAGCTTTGATGACGCCATGGCACTCTACTCAAGGCAACAGAGTAAGACTCTGTATCAAAAATAAATACATAGTCTAAAAAGCAATTTTTACTTTAGAATTATATAACAAAAGAATAAATGCTCCAGGTGTTCTAAACTACAATGAAAAGTTCATTAAAAAGATACAGATACACTGATTATATGCTCTGTCATGTAACATTTAACTGCCCAAGGTCTGGCTACCCTGGCCAATACCACATAGGATAAGCTCCTCACAAGCTTAGCAAATATTTTCTTCCATTATCATTTACAAAGAACATGCGTTTATTGTCATAATCATTTCAGAGAAAGACACAAAACAGAATTCTTCCACAGTCAGATGGATTCTACTTAATCTTCGCACTGTTCCGCAGAAAATTAAGTAAATTTTCCCTAACATCTTTCATTATGAGAATTCTTAAAAGGTTCTTGTATCAGATCTATTCACTTGTTTTCCTTTTATCCCTAAGGTCAAATAAAAATTTGACCTCAGATTTTGTTAGAACCTAAATGAGAGATTTTTTTTCTAAATACTTCAAACAATTTTATTTCATAAAACTAGTTTTGAGTCAATTACATCTTCATATGTATTACCTTGAATTCCATTCAATCTTCTTTTCAATGCTGAGATTATTAAAACCTGGAGATACTTTTGCTGAAAACCAGTAACTTACAAAGTGGAAAAGAAGCTGGAAGGTGAAAAAGCTGGTACAGACAATGCTGATGGCCTGTGTCGTGTTCGTATCCATATTTCTTCAACCTGTTTGGAGAAATGACAGCTATAAACTGTTATCTCATGAAGAGCCTAGATTAAAATCTTTCTAACACATGGACTGCCACATAAGAAAAAAATATCTTTCCTGTGGCCACCACTGTATGTGACTCACAACAAACTTATTCGATCTGTTTCTGAGAATTGACTCTTTTGTCATTCCACAAGTATTGAGTTGTGTCTGCCATGGAACTGGAGTGGTCCTGGATGAGGACCTCTGAACTGGAGTGGTCCCAGATGAGGACCTCTGAACTAGAGTGGTCCTGGATGCAGACCGCTGAATCACACCCCCGAGCACATGCAACAATGTCATATTGCTGCGTGCTATAGTATTGATTTTGTTCAAAGAACCATCAGGCAAACATTCAAAATGAAATGCGCAATCAGAAGTCGTGGAAATCAGAGAACTCAGTCCAGCGCATGTGGCAGCCTTGGGCAGGCCAGCCAGGGCAGGGCTCCAGGAGGTGGAGAGACACGCCAATTGACGGCCAAAACAACGAGCAGAGGTTTCGTAGCTTCACAAGACTACAGGCTCAAACTAGCATGAGTTAAATACAACTCATATGGCAGTTAATGTGTTAAAAAGCATATACTTGTACTTTTAGTAATTTTTAAAATTTAGCACAAATGTAAGAATACATCATCAAAATGTGGAAATAGCCTAAATGCCCACCAACCCAGGAATGGATAAACAAGCTGTGGTATATATATACCATGGAATACTATTCAGCCATTAAAAAATATGGAAACCTGGGTGGCACCTGTGGCTTAAAGGAGTAGGGTGCTGGCCCCATATACCAGAGGGGTCAGGTACAAACCCAGCCCTGGCCAAAAACCGAAAGAAAAAAAAAAGATGGAGACTTTACATCTTTTGTATTAACCTGGATGAAAGTGGAACACATTACTCTTTTTTTTTTTGAGACAAAGTCTCACTATGTCACCCTTGGTAGTGTGTGACGTGGCATCATACCTCACAGCAACCTCAAACTCTTGGGCTTAAGCAATTTTCTTGCCTCAGCCTCCCAGGTAGCTGGGACTACAGGCACCTGCCACGATGCCCACAATTTTTTGGTTGTAGTTGTCATTGTTGTTTAGTAGGACCAACCTAGGCTCAATCCCATCAGCCTCAGTGCATGTGACTGGCACCCTACTCACTGAGCCATGGATGCCGAGCCTGAAACACATTATTCTTAGTAAAGCATCATAAGAATGGAAAAGTAAGAATCCCATGTACTCAATTTTGATATGAGGAAAATTAATGACCTAGTACATGGTGGAAGGTGGAGGATAGGGGAAGGAGGGAGAACTGAGAGGGAAGAAGGGAGTAGGGTGGAGGGGTCACAGTGCATGATACACCTTTTTGAGAGTGGGACACAATTATAAGAGGGACTTTACCTAACAAGTGCAATCAATGTAACCTGTTCTTTGTACCCTCAATGAATCCCCAACAATTTAAAAAAAAGGTATATATCTGAAAGACCAAAAATCACTTCACAACAAAGATATCTGCAACAGATTGTTCACTGCAGCTCAATTCATAATTGCCAATTCATGGAAGAAACCCAAGTGCCCATCAACCCATGAATGGATTAATAAATTGTTGTATATGTACACCGTGGAATATTATGCAGCCTTAAAAAAAGATGGAGACTTTACCTCCTTCATGTTTACATGGATAGAGCTGGAACATATCCTACTTAACAAAGTATGTCAAGAATGGGGAAAAAATCACTCACACTTTCATATGAAAGATAAATCACAACTATAGCCCAAGATGAAGGGAGGGAAGGGGGGGAGATTGAATGGAAGGAGGGTAAATGGTGGGACCATTCCTATGGTTCATATTACAAGGGTACATGTCAATTCTATTAAGTCAAGAGCATAAATGTCTTAACACAATAATTAAGTAAATGAGGTGAAGGCTGTATTAACTAGTGAGATGTAAGCATTCCAAATTGTATATAAAAATCAGTGCATTGTACCCCATAAAGGCATTAATGTATACGTGATCTATGTGTTTATGACCCAATTAAAAAAAAAAAAGAATTTTTGGCCTTTTGTGTGTTTTTCACTTATTTGTTATATATCTTACGTTTGTATTTAAAACAAATAGGAAAAACCTATTACCTTAAAAATCAATATTATAAATTTCAGAAGACATTTTAGTATGATTTTCAAATTTATCTAAGTCTTATAGAGTTTAACATTAAGAGGGAATTTCAAATGCTGTAACTGAAAAGTACTCTTTTAATATTATTTTATTCAACTTAGAACAAATCACCTGATTTGTTTATGCCTCTACTTCCTCATCTATATAAGGAGTTAGCTGGATGATTTCTAAAAAACTATCCAACCAAAGATCATAGCAGAACTAACATTAATTATGATGATAACACAAAAATTACATAATAAAAGCTAATCACACAGCAGGATAGACATTTAAACAAAATTTGAATCTTAAGAAGAATAACATAAACTTAGAAATAAAAGCATACTATTGTCATTGTTTAAATTAGTATTTAACTTTAAAAAAAAACAATTCTTAGCCAGACGTTGTGGCGGGCACTTGTAGTTCTAGCTACTTGGAAGGCTGAGGCAAGAGAATCCCTTAAGCCAAGAGTTTGAGGTGGCTGTGAGCTGTGGCACCATGGCACTCTACCAAGGGTGACAAAGTGAGACTCTGTCTCAAAAAAAATCCTGCAATCACACATATCCTTGGACCAAGGACCTCCATGGCTTTTTATCTATTTAAACAACAACGAAAAAGGATTTTTATAAAAAGGGTAGTGAAAAGAATAATAATATGCATATATTATTATATATATATACACAAAGTATGTTTTCTATCTTACTGACCTGAACTTTGTCTCCTAAAAATCTTAGGAATACTTAGGATCAAAAAAAGACATTAATGCATTTGCTCATATCCAGCACATGTAACACTTCTATAGCTCCATCTCGGATAGAACCGATCCTCAAATGAAAAGGAAATGAATCAATACACATTTCCAGCTGCCTAATGTGAAGGAATAAAGTCACCTACTGAAGCCAATTCCCCAGAGAGAACCCAAGCCACTGACTGTACTAGCAATAAACCTACTTCATTCCCTTCCAACCAGGATATCATAATAAGAATCAGTCTCCCACAGGGTCCCTTCCCACAGAATCTGTATGTCTGTAATGAATGCTTTCCTCATTTTTTTTTTTTTTTGGTGTATATGCTTGGTAAAAACATTGATATTATAATTCTTCTCTGTGGGACTCTATTACCTTTATTGCTCATTTACTTTTTCTTTAATTCGACATGTGTTTATTGAGTATTAAAAATTTAATCTGTGCCCTTTTGCCTAGGTTTAATATTAATCAAATAATACATAAAAGTTTTGCACATATAATAGCACTATTATAATTATCCAAGTGAGAAAATAGTTTTCTAAGATTAAAGCAAATAGAGATCTGGAGGGCAGGTGGATAGATAATTGAAGAAAATGGAATCACTAAGCAGAAGAGAGTGGACGTGGAATGTTAAAGGTGAGAATAGAGGCTACCGTATGCTCCCTGCTGGTCCTGGGGCAGAAGGGAATGAGCTGCTTGGTTACTTCTGTTAAAATTCAATGCATAGGCTCGGAATCTGTAGCTCAGTGGTTAGGGTGCCAGCCATATACACAGAGGCTGGCTGGTTCAAACCCGGCCCGGGCCTGCTAAACAACAATGACAACTGCAACAACAACAAAAAAATAGACTTAGTGCCTGTAGTTCAGCAGCTAGGGCACCAGCCACATACACCAGGGCTGGCAGGTTCGAAGCTGGCCCAGGCCTGCCAAACAACAATGACAACTACAACCAAAAAATAGCCGGGCGTTGTGGCAAGCACCTGTAGTCCCAGCTACTTAGGAGGCTGACGCAAGAGAATCACTTTAGCTCAAGAGTTTGGGGTTGCTGTGAGCTGTGACACCAAAGCACTCTACTTGGGGCAACGTAGTGAGACTCTATCTCAAAAAAATAAAACAAAATAAAATAAAAATAAAATTCAGTGCACACAATGAGCATTTATTTCATGACCGTTCATTAAAAGTCATCATAAAGCATACTTATGTCATGCAACACTAGCCATTTTACAAATTGTTAATTTAACCAGTGTATTTAAAAGCATTTGATTTGCCATTCAGAAATTTACAGTTCCCTCAAATCAAGTTCTTTTTTTTTTTTTTTTTTTTGCAGTTTTTGGCCAGGGCCAGCGCCCTACTCCTTTTGAGCCACAGGCACTGCCCCCCAAATCAAGTTTTGACTAATTCTTTTCATATCAGATGAGATGAATACTTCATATTTTCAACACAATTATTTTCAGTTAAGTCTTTGGGATAAATGTTGGTAAGTCTCCCTTTGCAAAAACGTTTCATTTAAAACTAAATAAAGAGCTCCATCTATGCAAGCTGTGGCTTCTGTCAAGGGCTCAACAGACAGAACCTAATCAAATTGTTCCAGCCAGGTTTTGCTTCCTAATAAGCAGCTGCTTGCTTAATCGGTCATGCCAAATCAAGGACTAATCTAGATTTCTAACACATTTCCTTAGAAAAAACAAGACTTGTGTGATAGGAAGCGATTGCTCCTGTTCATCCTGAACATGATAAAAATGATGTTCATTAGTAACATATGTTAGGGGCCTGACAGAGCATATTTAGGATTACGCAGTGAAAGTAGAAAAGCATTAGGCCGAATTCATATACCTCTACATGGGGCTACAGCTGGCAGGAGACTGGGACACTAGCTGGCTTTGGAATAGCAGCTCAAATGGGAAATGTTTCGTGACAACTCACAAGAGCGTCTATGGCCAGGCGTGGTGGCTCATACCAGTAATCCTTGCACTCTGGGAGGCCAAGGCAGGTGGATGGGATTGCTTGAGCTCATGAGTTTGAGATCAGCCCAAGCAAGCGGGAGACTCTGTCTCTACTCAAAATACAAAAGATTGAAGTAGAGGATTGCTTGAG